GAGGTGGCGGATGAGCAGGATGATTAGCATGAGGAAAAGGAGGATGAGGGACGAGGAGGAAGAAGAGGACGGGGGCGACCAGCAGCAGCATGAGGTGGAGTGGAAGGAGCGGAAGGAGTAGGAGGATCAGGGGAAGGCGGAGGAGGGGAAAGGAGGGGGGCGACAACGACGACCAAGAACTCGGACGCGGAAAAGTGGCCCGCGCTGGGGCGCGAGCGCCGCTCTGCACAACGGGAGGAGCAACGCGCCGACCCGAGCACGAGGCCCACGCTGCAGCGGGAGCTCCGTGCAGATCCTGGGTGCGGCGAGCATGCGCGGAGAGGGCAGGGCATCTCCCGGAAAGAGTCAGGGTCGAGCCGGGAGCAGTCTTCACGAGGTACAGCTGTGGAGAGGGAGGGGAGGAGGGGAGAGGGGCAAGCCGGAGGGGAGGAGGGGGGGAGGGGATGGGGGAGGAGGGTAGGATGGGGAGGAGGAGGGGGAGGAGGGGAGGAGAGGAGGGTGCGCCAGCCGGCCAGACATCGTGGCGCGATGTCCTTTGGGAGGCCAGGCTCACCCCGGGCGCTGGGCCCCGTGCTCCTGCGCCGCGCTCGTGCCCTCCACGTGCGCGGTCTCAGGCTCTGGGGTTGGTTCGCCCCGTGTCCGCGGTGGCGAGGCGCCGCTGTTCCTGAGCGGCGCTCTTGGCAGGTCGCCGCTCGCGACCGCGTGAGTTTCGGAGCGGTCTGGCTGCGTGCTCGAGGCACGGTTGCGGACCACATAACGAGGATGGGGAAAGAGGAGGAGGAGGAGGAGGAGGAGGAGGAGGAGGAGGAGGAGGAGGAGGAGGAGGAGGAGGAGGAGGAGGAGGAGGACGAGGAGGACCAATGTGTGAACCCGAGACTTAGCAGCGACGTTGGAATGACTCCTCCCTCCAAGCTCCCTCTTTTCATGGGCTCCTGCAAGGGTTCATTTTCACTGAGGGAGGTGCCCCGTTGGGAGCTAACCGTTTGAAGACTTTGAAGCGTGCCAAAACACCATTCTCGGGATTCCAACGCCACGAACCAACGTGACTGTTGCATATTGGCGATCCAGAACCGTTTGTGCCAGAAGATCATTCCTGGGACTTCAACACCGCGAATCAATGTAACTGTTGCGCCCTGACACTCTTGAGTCGTTCCAGCAACTCTCTGGTACGTTAACGAGGGGAAGTCGTCAAACTCTGGCAAATGTTTAAAACGAATGTGCGCGGTGCTACGGCGAGAGCCACATTTTGAAAACGAACCGCCCTCAATCCGTGAAGCTCTTACCACTTTTCAAGACGAGTGTGTGCGGCGCTATGGATATAACCTCATTTTGAAAACGACCCGCCCTCAATCCGTGAAACTCATTACGAAGGTTTAAAGGACATGTGCGCGGCGCTGAGGCGAGAGCCACATTTTGACACCGATCCTTTTTCGAATTTGAAACTCTTGCAAATGTTTGAAACGAATGTGCGCGGCGCTAGTGCGAGAGCCACATTTTGAAACCGACCCGCTCTAAATCCGTGAAGCTCTTGCCACTTTTCAAGACGAATGTGCGCGGCGCTATGGATATAACCTCATTTTGAAAACGACCCGCCCTCAATCCGTGAAACTCATTACGAAGGTTTAAAGGAAATGTGCGCGGCGCTGAGGCGAGAGCCAAATTTTGGAAATCACCCACCCTCCATCTGTGAAGCTGTTGCCACATTTTGATCTTCATGGTCGTACACGGTGAGGAAGCCTCAGGCGAAACGCCCAGCCCGCCCTTTCGACTGGCCTCGAGGCGCGACAGGGAGGAGTTATTTATATGTAGCAGGAGGAGGATGAGCAGGAGGAGGGGGAGATGGAGATGGAGGGGAGCGTCCATTCATGAGGGCACATTGCCTACGTTGGGCCCTCATTTTCTTTTACCCTTGTGGCAAGTCGCGACGGTGCTAGTGATCCATGTCTGGGCAGCGTAGCGTAGAAGGGCTAATTCCCTCCTGTGTCGGTGCATGTGCTGCTTCTCGCGCTTGCGCCGTCATTCGTTCACGCGATCGGATCGACTGAGAGAGGGAGAGAGAGTCAGAGAGAGAGGGATATACATATGTATACATGTATATACACATATTTATACATGGTATGTAGATATATTTATGTATAAATATCTTGGTCGATTGGTATAGAGAATGTTGGAAAGGAACGCGCGCACGCATCCCACACCTCCAACTCGATTGTTGGGGGTGGGATGCGTTGGCGCTCGCTTGCGACGCTCACGTCTCAGCCCCCTATCCTGCCTCGGCTTCGCCCGAGAGTGCGCTAGCTCCCTCCTAGCCTCCACCCCCGCACCGTCTCCTTAAAAGGGGGAAGATGACACGCGTCGCAGTTCCCCGCGGGTGTACCGGTATGCGACTATAGGCGAGCGACGACGGTGGCGAACGACCAACGACAAACGATTACAAACGGGCGACGAACGACGAACAGTGACCGACGAACGGCGACGACGACGAAGGCGACCACGACGACGACGACGACGGAATGACTACGACGACGAGCCACGAACGGCTAACGACGAACGACGAACATTCAATGGTGACCAGGACGACGACTGTCGACGAATGGCGAACGACGACGAATTGCTGGCGACGAGCGACGAACGTCGAACGCCGCCGCACATGTGGGCGTATCGCAACGCGACCACCGCGCGGTGGGGGGGGGTCCACGAAAAATTGAATAGGTTTCTCCAGGAACCTTCAGGCCGCGTCAGGATTGCTCAGGCTCGCGCGTCGCATCGGCGGCGGTCTCGGCGCGCGATTTTCGCGCGGGGGCCGGCGCGCGGCGCCAAGCAGCCTTTTCGCGCCACTGTGTAGGTCTCGCGCGCACAGGGAAGGACTCGCGCGCAGCAGCGTCGAAATCTCGGATGGCAAGTTCTTGCGCTGGTGTCGGCGCGCAGCGCCTGGCATAGTCCTCGCGCGACGGAGCAGCGCTCGATCGCACGGACGAGGACTCGTGTTTCGCGTCGCCAGCGGTCTCAGCACACGACTTTCGCGCGGGGGTGGGCGCCCGGCGCCAAGCAGCTTCCTCGCGTGACTGCGCAGCGCTCGCGCGCAGGAGGGGACTCGCGCGCTGCGCAGGTGATGGTGTCGGAACGCAAGTTCACGCGCCGCGCGAGCTGGCAGCGCTCGGGCGCGCGGGGGAAAGCCCGCGCGCCGCATCGGCGGGATGACATCTCGGTGCCGTGGTCTCGATCCACGAGAGCGGTGGCGCCCCGCTGCGCGAGTGGAAGCGCGCGTGCGCGCGCGGATGTTTGTTTCTGTGGATGCGCCACACGCGCGCCGCATATGCGGGCGTATCGCTACGCGACCGCCGCGCGTGGGGATGGTAGGGCATGAGTAACCATTGACTTGCTTTCTCGGGGTCCGCGAGGCCGCGTCGACTGGGAATTCCTGGGAGCTTCTGGAGCTTCTTGTGGGGCCTCCAAGGGCTGCCTGAGGCCTCTTGGGCCTCCGAGGGCTACTTAGGGGTCTCCTGGGGCTTCCTGGAGCGTCTCGGAGCGCCTGGGAGCGTCTGGGAGCGTCTGGGAGCGTCTGGGACGCTTGGGGAGCGGCTTGGGGCGCCTGGGGACGCTTGGGCGCTCCTGCGTCTGGGAGCGCTTCGGAGCGCTTGGGAGCGCCTGGGGGCTGCTGGGGGAGCTTCTGGGAGCTCCTGGGAACGCGTCTGAAGCGTCGGGGGGCGCCTTGGAGGGCTTGCGAGTGTGTGGAGGCGTCTGGGGGCGTCTGGGAGCGCCTGGGGTCGCCTGGGGAGCATGTGGGGCTGCTCGGGAACGCTTGGGCGCTCTTGGAGCGTCTGGCAGCGCTTGGGAGCTCCTGGAAGTCTGGGGACTCCTGTGAGCGCGTGCGAGCGCCGTGGGCCGCCTGAGGAGCGTTCGGAGCCGCCGAGGAGCGCTTGGGCGCTCCTGAAGCGCCTGGAAGGGTTTGGGCATATGTCAGGCGTCTGGGAGCGCATGGAAGCGCCTGGCCGCCTGTGGCCGCCTGGGGAGCGCCTGGCACTGCCTAGGTACTTTTGTGTGTTCCTGGAACGTTGTGGAGCGCCTGGGGGCGTCCAGGAGCCTATGGGAGCGCCTGGGGGCGCTTGGGACCGCGTGCAGAGCGCCTGGGGCCACTTGGGAGCGCCTGGGCGCTCCTGGAGCGTTTGGGAGCGCTGGGGAGCGCCTGGGAGCGTCAGGGGCGCGGATCCCATGGCTTGTGCCAATGTTCGCGGCCTTGGGGGCGCCGATCGGACATTGTTTTGGGGGTGTGAAACAACGGTAGGCTATTCTGGGCCAATTTTCGGCCAAGTGCCGTCCGCCCTCTGGAGCCTGTGGTGCCGGCGGGCGACTTCAAATACATCCCGCGACTTGGAAACCAGCGCGGGATCCAGAGAGGGAGATAGCAAGGCTGTGCTACGCACGGAGGGCAAAGGCGTGGCCCGCCCGCCGCGCCGCTCGGAGGCGGGCGAGCGGACTCTCGCCCGCCGACGTTGTTCATCGAGCAAGCCGCTGAGCGCTCCGACCACGAGTCGCTTGCTGCCTGATGATTGTCAGGACCGACGCTCGCGCCCGAGAGAAGAGGATATGAAACTCTAGAAATAAAGATACTGACCCGCGCAAGCCGAAAGTGCAGATTATGTTCGGTTTCCCAGAAACATCTTTCCGAGAGAAAATCCAAATCCACCTCCACTACCTCCTTCGCCCTTCCTGTCGCTGTCGTTGTTGGCTTCAATGTCGAGAACGACGCAGCCGCCCCTCCTCCTCCTCCTCCTCCTCCTCCTCCTCCTCCTCCTCCTCCCTTCTGCTCCTGCTGCTCCTGCTGCTCCTGCTGCTCCTGCTGCTCCTGCTGTCCCTGCTCCTCCTCCTCCTTTCCATGCTCCTTCTCCTCCCTCCTCCACGTTCCCCCTCCTCCCTCCCTCCTCCCTCCCCTCCCCCCCCCCGACGGCGGCGCCCCCGTTCGGGAACCCGCCGCAGCGCGCGCCGCGGCCACCGCGGGCAGCATCGGGCTCGAACGCCCAGCAGCCTCCCCCTCTTTGCAGCACGCGCGGTGCGCGCCGCCGAGCCCTCCGCATCGCACCCGGGCGGGGCCACGCCTCGCTCAAGGCCCGTGCGGGCGGGGGACGGAGGGAAGATGATGATGATGATGATGATGATGATGATGATGATGATGATGATGATGATGATGCTGATGATGATGATGATGATGATGATGATGATGATGATGATGATGATGATGATGATGATGATGATGATGATGATGATGATGATGATGCTGCTGCTGCTGCTGATGATGATGATGATGATGATGATGATGATGATGATGATGCTGCTGCTGATGCTGATGCTGATGCTGATGCTGCTGATGATGATGATGATGATGATGATGATGGTGGTGGTGGTGGTGGTGGTGGTGGTGATGATGAAGATGATGAGGATGATGCTGCTGCTGATGATGCTGATGCTGATGCTGCTGATGATGATGATGAGGATGAGGATGAGGATGAGGATGAGGATGCGGATGAGGATGAGGATGAGGATGATGATGATGAGGAGGAGGAGGAGGAGGAGGAGGAGGACAACGAGGAGGAATAGGAAGAGGATGATCAAGAGGAACGCTCATGTGAATCAACATTGTAATAGTACGAATCATGGTAATCGTAGTACTACTTACAAGGAGACCGATAATACTAAGACTAAGACTACCAATACTAATACAAGCATGAAGCATAGTACGAGGAGCACGACTAATAGGAATACTAGTAATACGAATCATATTCATATTCGCAAAACCACTAACACTGTCATCAATACTAATAATATCGTTACGAATCTTATGAATAACAATAGTGGCACACACCAGAGTAATAATACGAAGACGACGAAGAGGATGATTAGGAAGATGCTGGGGAGGAGGAGGATACATACTTGTAGTAATAGCAGTAATACTATTAACAACGCGGACACTATTGAAGCTAATATTTTTAACCACTAATCAAAGCAATACTACGAGTTTTCCCACTAATCATGATTATACGAATCATAATACTAACACTGTTGATTTCAAACATATAGTGCTACTACGACTACTAATCGCCCTATGAGGCTTACTACTATGACTATTACTACTAGTACTAATGCCACTAGAACTATGAATGCGAATCATTGTATTGCTAAGGTTACCATATACAAATGATAATAATATTGCGACTGATAAAACTTATAATAACGATGACTCACAACATTGATTAAACCAATCATGCGTGTAATGATACCAGTAATACGAATGCGAATACTATTAGGATAACACTGCGGTTGCTACTAGCACGTACCAATCGCAATACGACTACTAAGAATACTAGCAGTAATACTAATACGTAGACGAATACTAATATCAGTAAACTTGTTACTAATACTCAGATGAACGCCGCTACTACGAACTAAAACATAAGAAGGCTGCTGCGAATAAAAATAATACGGGCACTCATACTTATCATCATCATACCAATCATAATGCCACTAATAATATTATTTTGGCGACCAAGAAGAATGATACCAACAAGTCTAACAATAAAAGGAGGAGGCGGATGAAAAGGCGGAGGCGCAAGCGGAGGAGGAGGAGGAGGAGGAGGAGGAGGAGGAGGAGGAGGAGGAGGAAGAGGAGGATGCTTGGTTTGGCTCGGGTTGGCCTTCAAGGCAGTACATAGAACAACTAACCACCCTCGTCCGAACTCTCATCAAAGTCAGGGTCCTCGGAGGAGGCTGACGCTCGGTGGATCGCTTGACGACCCATCGCGGGCACTCGCGGGCGGTCCTCGACCGTCAGTACTTCGTCCCGCCCACCCACCTCCCCCCGCGCCCGAGACGAGCGAGACGGGGCGGTGTCTCGGGAGGGGGCCGCCGTCGTGTCAGCTTGCATTTGCATGCTCTTCTGACAGCTGCCAACGCCCCCGTGTCGGCGGGCTAGAAGTAGATGCTTGATTCCCGATCTGTAATGGGGGAATTCACTCATGCAAGTGGGTCTCAATTGATCCTGGGTGCCTTTATCAACTTGACCAGAGCACCCTTCAGATACCGACGCCGTGAATTTACCGTCTGAGCTCACAGCTCCACAACGGCAACAAAACAGGATCCTTTTGACCTTGGGATTTGTGGCCTCGACCTCGACCCGAAGCAACATGTGCCGCCGCGACCCGAAACTCATCCGAGAAAACTCCTCCCACCCAGGCCCCGCTCCCAGCTCCAGGCCCTCCACCTTGAGTCCTCCAGGATCCTCGGGCGGCTCCTGGTCGGGCCGAAGGTCGGGGCCGCGGCAGGAAGGGGGAGCCTGGCTCTGTCGCTTGGGCGAGGCACGGCTCCGTCAGATCCTCGCGGTCCTGCCCGTCAGCCTGCAGGTGCGCACCTGCGGCCTCACGCGGCTGCCGCGCGCGCACTCGGTGAGGCCGCGCCAGAGCTCATACAAAGCTTGACCGACGCCATGTGGTGCCGCACCTTTCCGGGCGTGCTCGTCGGCTGCTTCATGTGCTCGATGCTCCCACTCCGTGGTGAGCCCCGAGTCAACATCTGCGCGCGTGCAGCGGGCTGCGTATCGTTTTGGGCGTGCCAACGTCCGACGGTCGGGACGATGCCCAGAACTGGCCCCAGACATGCGCGCGCTGACTTCCGCTGCCCGCCCCCCCCCCCGCCCGTGCCAAACGCTGCCCGCTGCGCCAGCGCACGTGGTGCAGACAGCCCAAGGCGGCCGAGCTAGTTGCGTCGGGCCGTCGCGGTGCAGACAGCGAAAGGCGGCCGAGCTAGCTGCGTCGGGTCGCTTGGCGAGGAGCGGCCGCAAGGCGGGGCAGGCCCATGTGCTGCGACTCGACCGAGCCCGTCTACTTGGGCTACAGCCCGGCCCGCGCGGGCCAGACGGAACCCCAGACAGAAGGCGCAGCTCAGGTTTGCGACCGTTTTCTCGTTCATGGTTTTGCCCATCGGCGCGGGCCCTCTCGCACCCCCCCCCCCCCTCCCCCCCCCTCCCCCCCCCTGGAGTAGATCTTGGCTGTTTTTGGCGCCCATTTCGAGCAGGTGGAGTCTCCCCCATAGGACGCACTGTCGCAAGCAGTCGCTCTAAGCAGAGGTCCGGAGCCAGACCCCCCCTCCTCCCCCCCTTATTCCGCCCACTGTCGAAACACCGAATAAGAAAGCATTCACGTTGTTGTGCCACAGGATGGTGTGCTCGGACTCCTCGGGGACCTCCGGCAGCTCCCCTGGGCCCGGGGCGAGCCCCGCGCGAGCCCCTCCTCCGCCTCGAGGCCCCAGTCCTTTTGACCGTAGCAGCACGAGTCTTCGAGAAAGCCGACGCGCGTTCCCGTCTCAGCACTTCAGAGCAGGGCAGCGGTCTGCCCTGTGCCATGCGGACCCATCTGGGCCCCCACATCTCCGACAGCTCCCAGGCGATGCCAGGCCGTGCTTGAACAGCCTGCGTTGCGGCCAGTGGACCCCGAGAGAAGCGACTTCAGGGGCCCTGGCGCCTTTTTGTGCAGCTCTTAGCCGTCGCGACTCGATGCAAGAGAGGTTCCGGCGCTTTCCAGAACGCCGGCTTGACCCAGGGCGCTGAGGGCTCCCGTGGCGCGAGATCTTGTCGATCAGATACCCGTGGTGCACCTTTTTTTCGGTGAGAGCTGGGGGCAGCAATTTTAGAATCAGCTTCTGGCCCTGGTCCGTGACAAGGGTATCGCAAGAGTCGCGCCCCCAAGCGACCCTTTGCAGACTTTGAAGAGCAGCTTCAGCTGGCGCCGCCGCGGTCGGCCATGGAGCCTCCACATTCGATGTCCTGGCCGCGGCGCCCTCCAGGCACGTCCGCAACGCGCCAGACTTCGAGAACAAGGCCCTCGAGGGCGCGAAGTTATTCGCGCTTCGCGCTTCGCGGTTCGGCTCCGATTCCTCATCCTCCTCTCCTCCCCTGGGAGGCGGCGCGAGAGCGCGAAGTCATTTGCGCTTCGCGCTTCGCGCAGCGCGAAGCGCGAAGTGGGGAGCCCTTCATGACCTGGTCGACGTTCAGGCTGTGGCTATGGAACCTCAATCCTATCGTGATGCCCTTCGGGGCCTTGCCGAGACTGCCCAAGGCCGCCAGGCGCAGCACCTACATCCTCGACGGCGGTATCCTCGCGGTGCGGGAGCCCCACAGGGCCGAGGTCGTGGTGCCCGCCCCCTGGGCCCAGACGGTATTGGCCCGGGCCCCCGCAAGTTGACAGATCCGCTCTGCTCGACTTGCTGCTCCTTTGTCTGCTGGTGCTATTCTTGAGGCTGCGACTGCACAGGACAGTAAGCCCGAGGGCGCCCTCGAGGGCGCGAAGTTATTCGCGCTTCGCGCTTCGCGCTTCGGCTCCGATTCCTCCTCATCCTCCTCTCCTCCCCGGGGAGGCGTCGCGAGAGCGCGAAGTCATTCGCGTTTCGCGCTTCGCGCAGCGCGAAGCGCGAAGTGGGGAGCCCTGGTTTTTCTGCTGGTGCTATTCTTGAGGCTGCCACTGCACAGGACTCCCGCTCGCGCCTGGTGTCGACTCCTGGCATGCTGGCGCTTGCGGCTCGCATCCGTGAGCGAGAAGAAGCTGCCGCCGCCCGTCGGTGTGTATGTCACGTTCTGCCCTGGGGGCCCTCGAGGAGAACTGCCCACCTGGACCCGGTGATCCCAGCTCGCCCCACAGCGCCCGGGGTCGCTTCCGTCCCGCGATTTCCGGCGGCTGCCTCTCGGCTGCTCGGGGGGGGTGTCCTGGGCCCGCTGCGGCTTCGCACCCGGCCCAGCGCGGCCGCGCAGGTGCCTCGACGTGCTCGAGCGCGGCAGCCCGAGCGGGGCTCGGAGCTGGTGAGCAGGGCCTTCGCGACGCGAAAATCCAAGACATTTGGGAAATTTTTGGGGAATCCTGGGATTCGTGTGTATTTCTTTGTGTGTCCCTGGGCCCCTTCAAGCTGAGAGACCGCGACATCTCGCGGGGCGGCGATCTGCAGCGCAGTGTCGTCGACCGCGTTGCTGACGGCGAGCTGGGGTCTCCCACGTTGGGCTGAGGTGAGAGGGCTCCGCGACAGCGACTTGGACGGCGCCGTCGCAGCCCGAGCACCCTGCGACCGCC